TAAACCCATTAGATTTTAGTCGAAGAAATCTACTTTCTGACACGGCTCTGTGTCAGAATAAAGAAAAAGAAAAATCAGTGTTTCTCTCCTTGGCGGCCGGGAGCGGGAGACTCTCCCGGGAGCGCCTGGGAGAGTTTTTTTAATTATTTTTTTCAGCAGAACCGCCGGCCAATTGAAAACTATTGCGCGGAGCTAGCTGTCATTGCTTGCTGATTTCAGCCGATCTATGGCTGAAATCAGCCGTACCAGCCTGAAGTGAATAGCCAAACGGCGTTCGGCTCACTTCACTTCAGGTCGGTCTTTCACTCGGCTGCCTACGGCAGCTTAGTGAATGGACCCCTTAGTAAACAAAACTACACTAAAACAACTCAGAAGACTAAGGGGTCTATTCACTAAGCTGCCGAAGGATCTAGCCGTAGCTTCGGCTGATCCTTTGGCTAGCTTCGGCCCCAGGACCCCTTCGGTTCTACTATTCACTATAGCCCATACAGCTCCCGAAGTCGGCCGAGTGGCAGCCTGCTACTTACTGCTGGTCGGAGCCAGCCGTCATCTCACGGCTGGCTGCGGCCACTTGCACAGACAGATCAGCGTCCCTGGTTACCAAGTAACCAGGGACACTGATCTCCAGACAGCCCAACTCTCCTGGGCGCTCTGGGAGTCTCCCGCTATTAGATAGCGGCTCCCGGCCGCCCGGTACAGAAACACTTTCTCCCAGAAAGGTTTACTCTGCTCGATCGAGGAGAGTAAACCTTTCCCTGCTCTGTTTTTTTTTTTCTTCTGACATCAAGCCGTTGGCTGCCATCAGTAATTAAAAAAAAAATCACCATAGGAATGCATAGCTAGATTCCTATTGGCTATTTCAATTTGCAATAGCCAATAGCAAACTAGCTATTGCACCCGACCACTGCTGCTGTTAATCAGCAGAGGGGACCTGAAGTTCTCCATCAGGTCCCCGGCTATTCACTCACTGCTGCTTGGCATCTATCAGAATAGGCCAAACAGCAGCGAGTAGCCTGCCGGAGGTTCGGCTTAGTTCGGCTTAGAGTCGAACTCCTTCTGCACTTCGGGTCAGCCGAACATGTTAGGCCGACTCGAAGCCAGCCGAAGCCACCCGATGCACGTCTGATTTCAGCCGATATACGGCTGGAATCAGCTGTACCTAGCTGAAGTGAATAGCCGAACAGCGTTCGGTTAGGGTCGGTTAGTCACTCTGCTGACTATGGCAGCTTAGTGAATAGACCCCTAAGACTAAAACTAAAATGAAATTTGCCATCAAAATAAACACTGCCACACAAGTTTTCATAGCTGCAGGCTTACAGTAGATTCCTGTGTGCTACTTCAGGAAGGTGATATTGAACTCAAAATCCCCTATAAATATTGCATGTCTTACATTGTTAGAAAATTTGCTATTGGCTTCCACATGGAGAAAAAAAATTGTCAGATTAAGTTTCTCCCAAAAAGCGCAGCCCACAGTTTTGGGATAATGACCTCATTCGCCATTAGCTGGGGCTAGATAGCAGCTCTAGCACATAAAGCATAGCCACATTTATGGCTACAGTTAATGTTGCTTACTGTTTAGGTGTTATCACAATTGATGATTTGGTAAAGCATTGGGGCCATGTTATGTTTTTATTTATACAGGATTCAGTGAGGCTAAGCAGACCAAATGAGCCTTTGCCAATTCACAATTACTCTCATACACAATAGCAGCTGCCCGTCTGTCAGGGACAATATATTTACACTTGTCTTCTCCACTAAACTGAAGCATTTTTTAATAAATTATCTGTGGATTTTGCACATTACAGGCTTCAAATAGGATTTTTTTTTAATCTTATCATGTGCAAAATCCACATTATAAGCTAAAAAAAATCCCATCTGTGGAGCTTGAAATATTATTCTGGCCAATATGATTACATTTGTGTGGAAGAAACCATGTAAAATAATAGCAATTACTCATGGTGCTCTAGTTGAAAACCAAAAAAACATTTGTAAAAATTATTTGATTTATGTTTTTTCTATCACTCTTCATCCAAAAACAATAAAATAAATAATTCTAGCCTTGAGTAAACAATATATTTCTTATTTAGTAGGTTTCCTACTAAAAAGAAGAGTTGCTTCTTAGAAGAGCTAGAGGATAAAATGTTAGCCCCAGCAAATCCCAAATCAAGCCCCAGCAAATCTCAAAGTGGTCATTTAAAGTACTGAATTGTCCCATGAACCCATTTGGATGTTTGACAGACAGGTTTGCTGGGCTTAAAAACAACATCTTTAGTGTATCGATGTCTAAGTATTTCTATATAGATTTGGTCCACTGATATCTTGTTTAATGTTTGATTTGATAATGCTCTCTTTGTAAAACACTATAGTAATATCAAAATAACTGACAGAACTTGAATTAGCATTATTCTATGTTTGATTCAATAGAGGAGAAGTCAATTAAACTAACATACTGAACATATATTTATTACTATAACTTAACTTAATAAACTTCACAGCTTGTATAATTTAGGTCTGTTGACCTACTAAGCCCTAATAGTGTGAGAAATACCAAGCTAGTTACTAAAGGTGCACACTAAAGTAAAAGAATGAGCATTCTGGATCAGGTTACATCAGAATGTCTGCGGACTTCCCCCAATACACCCTTCTTGAGATTGCTTGGGGAAACAATTGATTGGCATGGATTGATTTCCCCAGTCAATTGTTTTTTTCAGCAGAGCTTTTTATCCCCCCTCCATAGGCACAAATATACAAGTTCATCCAGTCTCGCATGTTTGAACAACAATCATACAATCGTTTGGCAGCCGAATCGTTCATGCAAGTCTGTCCGCCAGTCTGTAGATACTTTAATGTTTAGTTTTGTCTGTGTGGAAGCCCAACCTAAACTGTACTGTCAGTGGATCATTGATCCCAGAGCTTGTAGCATTTTTAGCATTTGTTTTCATTATTGTTTTTTCATTGCAAAAAGAAATAGTCAGCATATTGAAAGTGCTCATAAAACATTTATGTAAGTGCCCCTTAGGTCTAAACTACATGGGTGATTTCAATCGCATGCTTCTGAGTAAGTCAACTACTTAAAGCAATCACCTCATTTTTAACACAATAGATATCATCCATGTAGTTTAGTCATGTTTATGCACACAACCATTAGTAAAGCACATATCATGTTTACAGCTGGATATTACTGCCCACTGAAATTAGCTCAATACAACAAGATGATACTGTTCACCTATACAACTGTTATTTGCACTTTCTTTATATGTCAGGGAAACTGCTATTAGCTCATTAACTTTCTAACTGAAACTGTGGCAGGGAACCTGCACCTCAGTATAAGCTGCCTCAGCATGGAACAACCCCTTTGCCAGTTGAGTGGATAAATTCGACCCCGGGCAGATCACTCCAACCAGCTAGGAGCCCAATTCAGGCAAACAGATCCACTCATTGCATTTCACTAAACACACAAAGGAACACATTTTTGCCAAGTGTATCAGTGTCTGAATGTTAGAATGTAATAATAAACTCACTTTGGGTGCTGCCAATTTCAGTAATTATGTGCAGTTTCCAGACACAGTGTAGTCACAAGGCCAGGCCCCATGCAGAGTCTAAGGGGTTTATTCGCAAAGCTGCCGAGGGCAGCCGAGTGACTGACCGATCTGAAGTGAAGTGAGCCAAACACTGTTCGGCTATTCACTTCAGGCTGGTACGGCTAATTTCAGCCGTACATCGGCTGAAATCAGCCGTACATCGGGATACGTGGGATTCAGGCATTCGGCTCGGCTGTTCTGCTCGGTCCCTCAGAGGTACCAAGCAGAACAGAAAAAGAGTCAACAAAAATCCGAAGGGGTCTTGGGGCCGAAGCTACGGCCAGATCCTTCGGCAGCTTCGTGAATAGACCCCTAAGTAGCTGATAAGCTGTTGCTTGCATCTACTTTACAAACAAAAATTATTTCTACAGAGTTTCATCAAATGTGATCTTTCCTAAAAAGGGACATAATAAAATATTTTTCAAAGCTTTTTTTTTTAGCTAATTTCACTTTAAAGCAGCAGAGCATGTAAACGTTCTCATTTACATCCATTTACCACCATTCCCACAGTAGGACTGTTTTTTTATTACACAATTACAAATTTGAAACATTAAAAAAAATGCATCCAACATTAACATTTAGGAAGTATTGCATATAGATCTAATTAATGTTATCAGCCCTGTTCAGCTATTCCCATTAGTCATAAGATCTATGCTCTAGAATAGGCAATTGCACTCACAGGGATTTTTGAACGTATATACTCTCATCGGGAAGAGGCACACAAGGAGGCTGATTTACTAAAGGAGTTGAGAACCTTCACTCAATACATTGTATGCAAGACCTTTAGTAAATCAGCCTCAACACATGTGCATGCATATTGTGCTTGCCTTTACTGAAACTGAGTAAACTACCTTGCATTTCCCATGATTAACAAAAACTTTTTAAAAATATGCCCACATTTTGGTGAGGTTCACTCAGTTTTAAGGTATACATTGGTATATATATTTTTACTTTATTTAGATAAAATAAGTGATGTACAAGCTAGGCAATATGATAAAGTATAGCTTTACAGGCAGTGGCATTGTAGTCTAAATACAAAATGAAGTGTTGCAATGTAACCATTGTATTGAAATATGCATATTATTGCATGGCGCGTGAATAATCAACACCATTTCAGATTAAACAACAAATGTTCAGTTGTTTTGGGGGGTTTTATATACATTTCCTGGATAGCCACCCACAACACTTTAATAAGTTACAGCAAAAAAGCTTGGATATCTAATTCTAATATTTCTCTTTAAATATAACCGAAAATTAATATTTCTATAATTTATTATAAATACAATCAGTGCTTATCTAGCATTCAGCAAATGAGCCAAGAGCCTCATACTAAAATAAAATATATAATAATAATAATATAGATACTGTAACCCTTTATCGAACATACACATCATTGTGGCCGTGGTTTTGTTTACCTACCTGTACTCTGGCTTCAGTGAGATTAATTTTCATGGCAAGCTCCTCTCTGGTGAACACATCAGGATAGTGAGTTTGAGCAAACACAGCTTCTAATGCTTCCAGCTGGAGAAAAACAAGCAGCTATCAGCAGGGTGAACTTTTCATTGCTAATTATGAACACATTTCAAAGCTAAACAATGCAGGTGTTATTGGTAAGAGCTCATGAGGTGTTTTTTAACAAGGTGCAGATATATTATCGATTTTTTTTCTTAACCATTCAAGTTGATATATATTCTTGCTGTTTTGTTACTTTTGGACAACATTATATAAGCGCATGATAGATGTTTGCCTTAAGAAAATGATAGAAAGCATCCAAGTCAGACGTACAGAAGATGATTTATTAAAAGAGTCATTTTTACCCTGGTGAGTGTTCATTACAAATAAAGGTTCAAGGGAAATCTTTATTTTTTTTTAATTCCCCTGACCCTGGATTGGTATTTGAAGTGAACACTAGCCAGAAAGAATACTATTTCTACAATAAATTGTACTATGCTGTATAATTATAAATAATATTTTCAGGAAGGACCTAGATTGAATAGGAAATGTATCACTAGAAAACTAGCATTAACATAAATACGATTTTAAGGATAATTTTGATTTGCTTGATATAAGTTAACAAACTTTGTTATTCATAGACTGAGCTGGTTTAAGTGGGGATGCAAAAAAATATTGCCTTTGTTATGATTTGGTGTTTGGAACAAACACGGATCTGTAGATCTGGCAAAAATAATGATCCCTTTAGCAATTCATCAACATAACCAGAATACGTTATAAAGCTATGAGGTCATACATTTATCTCCGAAAGCATCTCTTATTGGACATTTTGTAATATACATATGGTTTTAAAAGGAAATACCTATCCCATGTTACATAGTTGGGGATGCCAAGAAAATAAGCCTTGGGCCAAACAGTATTAGGCACAAGGCTTATTTGAATTGTCATTTGTATGTCAATTAAAGACATTCTCCACCCAATACAGATAGAAAACTGGGTTCCTAAATATTTTAGGGTTTTCAGTTGCAATATACAGCCACCAGTATTTCAACACCTGCCTACCTGCTAAAGCCATTATAATGCCATGTGATAGTGCCCCACTCCCCAACTGAGGGAAATTGCTTATATTGGAAAATACACAAAAGTAAGAATGCAGCTGCAAATGAGTGTTTGCTGCATAGGTTTTGTGAAAGATAGTGGAAGATTCAGCAAAAAAAAGAGTTTTCAGAGTAAGCAAACCTCAAATATTCTTTTTGCGTGGAGATGACCTTTAACGTTTAGAAGAGAACACATAACACTATGGGGGTGATTTACTAACCTAAACACACGCACGCACCAGGTGCGTGTGTTTTCACACAGCAAAACATATTTATCAACCAAAAAGTCTCTAAAAGCATATTTCCACTAATGCCATGTATAGAAAAATCATGCACATGATGCTGCTTCACAGTTTAGACAAAAATGGTTAGCTCATGCAATTACATTCCTGCATTCATCAACGCAAGCAACACAACATAGAGCTAATTTACACAACATCACCTTGCAATTCATGCACAACACACCTGCTGGGTGTGTACACACTACAAAGGTGTTTAGATTCCACCCATAGATCATGCTGGGAGGGAACACACTACAGAGGTGTACACTTGTTCATGGCATGTTTATAAGGTTAGTAAATCAACCCCTATATATTATACAAAAAAATTGTAGCTAGTAAATGTTTCAAATATTGTAGATAATTGAAATAACTAGTTGTAGACACATTTTTACATATTTTCTAAACATGAAAGTCGTAGGTAGATTGCGATAGATATATAGATAGATAGATAGATAGATAGATAGATAGATAGATAGATAGATAGATAGAGTTGACAATTTGAGATTGCAAACAATTTTCTCTTATTGTAAAGCAAGGTTTGTTTTTAACCACCCCTGGTTGGTTCATGTATGAAATTAGAATTTTAAAAACTGACATATCTCTTTTCAAACTTCCTACAAACCTTTTATGTAACTATTTACAGTACAGCCTTGTAATATGTTAATAATAGTTTGATGCTTTACAAGAGAATGTGAAATCTGTCATAGGTGAAATAAGATCACAGCAATGTAGAATATGCATCTATATCACAGTACAACTGTATTTTAATGCTCTGACTACAAAATATTCAGCAATGAAAAATAAGTTGTGTTGGCTATCACCTTCAAATGGTCTGCTCAACACTGCACTGTGCCAAGACTGCAAACATTAAAGTGTTAGGAATAATATTACTTTTACACCAATGTTGATGCGGTCTCTGTCAGACACTGCATTTCTCTACAAGCATTTGTCTACATGTGATAGATTCTCTTTAAATTCTGTAGTATAAATGAGCATAGAATGTCATTAATGTGCATAGTCTGTCTCTCTCCCCTCTCTCTCAGATAATATATATATATATATA